CTTCTGTAAGTAAATAGTTCTGTAAATTTAGTTTTTCCCAATTATTAAATAGAACCGTGCCAAATTTATTAAAATCCCGCTCAGTTTCTTATTTCGAATCCCACTACAATATTTCAACAACCACGCGCGGACGCCTCTGCGACACGCGCTGTCTCGATCTCTCTGTATATCACCTGCTCGCACGAGCACAAAAACGGTGGCAATGGCGAGCGACTCACTGATCTCGGAGTCGCTGGAACCACTGCAAGAACTCAATGGACCGTCTCTCTTCCCCCGTACAATTAGGGCTTCAACTGACGGTCCAATTCCATCCGACTCCAAAGACCTAAATTCAATTCATCATTTTATGAAATCTTTGGTACTTGAAGGCGGCTTAATTTTTAATTTGTTCATATTTTGTTCTTGTCCCAGCTTTAATTTGTCGAATTCCTAAATTTTACGCTTCCACTCGATGCCATGAGCTTAGGAAGTCTAATTTTGCGGGTAGAGAAAGTGATATGTGTAGTCCTTTTAGGTGGCTGTTTTATCTTTTTGCATGCTGATTGATGCATATTAATTGGAAAAACTTTAGCATTTGGGAGACTGATTTATTTTGTATCGTAAATTTGTGAATTTCATTTCCATCTGCAAAAATGGCACTGGTTCCAGTTTGATTTCATTATTTTATGAGCTATGAGGTCTAATTTTGAAAGAAAAGATGGTATCTGAACAGTTGTGCTTGTTAATTACGCTTCTGGTTTCAGAAAGAGTTAAGGAGTCCTGAAAAGCTTAGGAATGAGGCAAAGAGAATTATGAATGGAGCAGCGCTTCTTGGTTCGAATTTCACAAACATCGCTGAAACTGTGAGCATCAGTGATGCTGTTGCTGCAAAGGACAAAGGCAAGCCTCAAGAACGAAGGCCAGGGCTGGCCCTTGGTCGTAAGCGGGCTCGGTTTTCATTGAAGCCTAATGTGAGGTGAAGACTAGTGCTAATTCTTCCTTACTTTTAGTTGCTATAGTGTTCTTTTAAGAGATTCATGTGTTAATATTAACAATATATTTTGGTAGCAGTCAGCCTTTAGTGACTTTGGAACCAACTGTGAATGTTGATCAGCTGGAAGACCCAGACAAATTTTTTGATGCTTATGAGAGGCTTGAAAGTAAAATTCTTTGTTTTCATTTTTTACTTTTCTTATTTTTGTATAAATTTTTTAATTTTCATGGAGGATTCATGTTTTATAATCTACAGATGCCCAGAAGGAAATACGGAAACAGCTTGGTGACCGCACAAACAATTTGAATGCATTCAAATCTTCAGCTAATGCACGTCGTCGTCGACCTGGAATTTTGGGGTATATTTACTTCTTTTTTGTCGTCTTGATTATTATATTTCACAATAAAATTGGTGGTTTGTAAGGCATTTGTATTTGATAGCAACTTATCAGCTCATTCTTTTTAACTGCAGGAAGTCATATATTTATAAGCACCGTTACTCCGCAGTGCCATCTGAAAATGATGACTCACTAACGTCCTCCCAAGAAATAGTGGAGGAGGATGCAGTGCCTTCTAAAAATGATACATTAACGTCCTCCCAAGAAATAGTGGAGCAGGATGTTCTGAATGCTCCTATACATGATTCTCAGCAAAACATAATAGACTCCAATCCCAGTCCCAATGTTTATTTACAGGAAGTGGAATTGCCTGGTGAGTGAAAGCTATTGAATTGAGGAAATATCAATGTCATTGTGAGAGGACTTTTGTTACTGATTGCATTGCTGCCATTGGTACTTATTGTCTAGATGCAAATATACCTTCTTCTCAACTTAGTAACATTTTTAATTTGATTTAACAGACTCAACGACAGAGATGGGGAATACTGTCAACCATATTTTGGATGAGTTGCTATCATGTAATAATGAAGATTTAGATGGGGATGGAGCTTTGAATATCTTGCAGGAACGATTGCACATCAAACCTCTTGATCTTGAAAAATTGTGCATGCCTGATCCTCATCACGTTGGAAGGATTGATGTTATGGCCCTGGAAAAAAAATTGCTGAAGCTCTGGAATAATTCACCGGTAATTGATACTTCGCTGAAAAACGTACTTGGAGAACTACCAAGTGAACATGAACAAGTGGCAAACAATCCAATCAACAATGGAGCCTCAAAAACCCCTCCAAGAAATCCTGTTGCTTCTCTATCTTTGTTGAAGAAACGAATTTTGCAATCTAGTCCCCTGAGAGATCCTCATTCTCCACTTAAAGTTAATGTGTCAGCACCTCCAAGTGTTTCTCCTGTTCAACCAATCAACAAGCTTCATGATCAGGTTGAACTGAAGAATGTGAACGTGTCTAGCAAGTTGAAGTCATGCATAGATGTTGAAATTAGAGAACCTACCATTTCTAATATGGATTCACAAAAGGTGATAAATGGAAGTTCAGGCATTTTGCTGGATCCGTTTGTGGACGAGACTGCATGCAGACAAAATGCAGATGGATCAAGTCGACCAAACGAATTACCAGATTGCAATGCTCAAGAAGAAACTGTTGTTGGAAACTTAGAAGTGCCACGAAATCCAACCAACCATGAAGCCTCACCAACCCCTCCCAGAAATTTAGTCGCTTCTCTATTATCACTGAAGAAGCGAAATTTGCAATTTAATTCTCCTAGAGATCCACTTTCTCCTCTTAAGATTAATAGGTCGGCACCTACAAGTGTTTCTCCTGCTCAACACATCGACAAGCTCCACGATCAGATTGAAATGAAGGATTCAGGGATGTCTAGCAAGTCGAAGTCAAGCATAGATATTGAAATTAGGGAACCTGCACTTTATAATGTGGATTCACAGAAGGTGATAAATGAAAGTTCAGGCCGTTTGACGGATCAGTTAGTGGATGAGAATTCTAGCGGAGAAAATGGAAATGGTGATAGTCAACCAAATGAAGTACCAGATTGCTGTGTTGAAGAAGCAACAGTTGTTGGAAACCTAAACAGCAGTGAGAATATTAGTGCTCTTACTTTGATTTCTCATCTTTTTTGGATACATATTTTAACTAATGTGACTTATTTGATCCATGAGATGCTATATAACTATATATAAGAATAACAAACTAAGCCTTGTTCCCTATAAGCTACACGAATCCTTTTCCTCTATTACATTTGGTTCATTGTTAGATCTACAGAGATTCTGTGTTACTATATCATGATATATGATATTGTGTCAATAAATTGTTTATGCCCCTGTTTGAGCCCCATTTTTGAAAAAGTTATTTTTTGGAGAATGTGTAGTTGGAAATGAGTTTTGAAAAAATGAGTTTTTGAAAAAATGGGAGCCAAACATAGGATATATCTGATGATATCTGTCATCTTTTAATAAATTAGTTAAATTGGTCTTCAAGCAAACTACCTGTGATTGCATGTAATCATCTGTACTTATGATCATAGCCAATTCAATCTTCTTTCGTATTCAATTCAAATAAGTCTTATCTTATACAACTCATTTTCTGGGCCTCATTATATATTGTTGATTTATTAGTATTTCATTATTCTACTTTTGTATGAAGCTGAGTTTTATCGAGGCAATTCAAATGAAAATTTCCATGAAATGAGCCATATGTTGGCAATTTGTGCTAGTGATCCTTAATGACCTAGGTTTGTGTGAAATACGATATGAAGGCTTTCATTGATGTTAAAATCATAACCTCAAACGTTGTCAATAAATGAAAATATTGAATATTCTTCTGTGGGAAAACCAATTAGATGTTTAGTAGATTTAAAGCTGGCTTTGATATGCTTTATGGTTGCTGAATATCAGTTTATGAGAACCAATGTCATCATGTAATTATAATTTCACAGAATAATATTTTGAAAGTTTTTATGTGGCACTAGAATCTCAACACCGACTTGGTAGATTTAAGTTGGTAATACTTAGTTACACAATGAACTCTTAAAAAGCTGTGAGGTCCCCACTTTCATGGTGAAAGAGACTTTCATGCTTATTCTTTCATCCTTGGTTCCTTGCTCTTTTATAGGTTTAGGCCTATACATGGGTACGGAATGCCCTTCTTTGTAACGAGTAATGACAGTAGTTAATATTTGTGTCATTGATTTGACAAGGCTTACGAAATAATGAAGCACGAGCACCTCAACCGGCAATCATGATCTCATGCTCTAACCTAAGATTTATTCTAAAATATTTGATGTAGTAACTATAGCAGGAAATAAATGATATCTGCCCATGTTTTCACTAAATTTTGTATTATGAATAAAGTGCAGATTATAGTTCTGTAAAATTTTCACTTTATTGTTTTGATGTTCTCTCCCTTCATTTTCTATCCTCCTGACACATCTACCAATTCTTTCTGTACTTGTAGATGATGTCATGGATATTCCATCCACGATGCAGCAGTTCGATATTGAACAACAGCCTGAGGTATTCCTAACTTATTCTTCTTTCTTTTCTCTGTTCTTATAGTTTTATGCTGTTTATCCTTGAATCTAAATTCTCATTAGTGGTCATTATTCTTTCATTTATTTATCAGTTCACATTTTTTTTTTTTTGGGCAATATTTTACGGTGAACTCATTAACTTTATTGTGATTATTCTTGTTTCAACCTTTAGAAGCTAGGTTCTTTCTGTCTGTGTTT